GTCCATTTTAAATAAAGTTAACTATACTGATACATCAAAAACTGACCAATGTGGTTCCCCCAACATTCCACACCGATTCACAAATTTTCTGATCTTCGGAAGGCATGTAGAAATCCGAAAACTTGGGCTCGGGTGGTAAAGGTATCACATTTTTATCGGTCAATTCCAAATAAGCATGTAACGCTTCATCCACGTTGACAAATGTCTTGACTCATGCGTCTGTTTAAGAAATCCAACATGAACTTGCTGTGTTTCCTAGTCTTGCTTCGCTTGTGCCAGTTGTTCCAAAGCTAGGTCGTGCTGTTTGCATTCCTCGTCGACTTTTATATTTTTAGGTAAACTGCTGAATAAAAAATTGAAGCCCATAAATGCCAATGTGTTTACTTAGCTCCTCCTACCATCATTAAAGCACTTGCCATTTTTAAAATAAATAAATTAAAAGATGGATCAAATTAAAGATCAATTGGCCAACATCAGTGGTGATCAAACAAACATCAAATCTATGCCAGGCGATATGCGAGCCTACATTGATCACAACTCTGACATGGAGATCCAAAACGTGTTCGCAGAAATGAGACACAAAACGTTTCACAAGCATGATCTATTGGGTAAGCACGAGGACTTGTTTTTTGCAGCGGGTGTATCTCTGATCGCGATTTCATTTATGTTTGTAATTTGGAAGTAAACCGGTTAAAATATAAAATTGTCTATTATAAAACAAAATATCAAGTCAATACACTAAAAAACAGAACCCGAGTTGCAGGCTTAAATTTCCACGTGCTATCAAGGCGAAGGACGCGAAGTCATATGCTAAACATCAAATTTCCTGCATTGGGTATAGACGATGTTGTCGTGCCCGGTACCACAAAATTAGTGTTTAAACTCGAGCTAGACAGAGCACTGGATGACAATTGAACCATTTACAACAACCTGGCACGTAACCCTAAAAAAAATTTCAGAACTTAATGTTAGTTTACAGGGCAATAAAACTGTCAGTGATTGAGATGCAGACGTCTTTCACAACTTGAAGGACAACTGGCTATCCCTAACATGGAGTAAAAACAGGGCTTACTTTGGCCTCGAACGCGAAAACGTGGCTAAGTTGCGATTGGGCGCAGCAGACGCGGTGGCATCAGCAAACGACGGTAAAGACAAAGTGATCGCCGACGCTCATAAGAACCGATACGTGATTCCGTTGGACGTACCGTTGTTAACATACCCGGACCGTTTTTTATCCCTCAGGTTTTAAAGAGCCGTTGACTTATCAGCTGACTTTTAATTCACACGATAAAGTGGTTCAAAGTACAGACACGGTTGCGGAATATTCCATTTTGGATTTAGGCGTGAGGTCAAAATACAGACGGTTGGTGTTAATCCCCCTTCATTCCGTTCGTGTTTTAGTGTTAGACAGTTCAACGGTTTGAAAAGAACCGTCTATCCTGGACTGTCTAGCTTCACGAGCAACCCTGACAACAATGGAGTTTGTAGCTGCACAGCCATAGTTGTAAACAAAAGATCCTATTCAGGGAGAACTTCACTGGCCCCGGTCAGCCTTCCTGGGCTGGCCGTGAGGATTAGTGGTTAACACCTTGTGATAGGAAGACGCAAAATCAACTGCATTCCAGGCTACAGACATTTATCTAGCTACAGATACGTTTTGAGTGGGTATTTCATGACAAAAAGGCATCGCCCCAAGATAATTGTCCATGTTTAAGCAATTTTTAGACTGGAAAATAAATGCGTTTATATGGGAGTGACGGGGAATGCCAAACACGGTTGCCTCATTTTACCGCCTAATCTATTGTCTAGGAAAGGAAATATTCACATAGACGCAATATGAATTTATTTGGAACTTCTGTCACGTGTACCATATTCTTTGAAGGTAATAAAAAAAAGTTAAACTCCGCATCAAATAGTGCTGCAAGTATGTGTCAAGGTTTGGTTCGGTTCAGACAGGGCTTGGACATTTTTTGCCGAACTTCAGATCGGTTGGGGTTTGGACATGTACACACATGTACAAATACAATGCACACTGAGACATCAAAAGGCTGGCTACGATCGTGCTGCAAAGGCCTATAAAGTATTTCTACGTATAAAATTATGAATCTGCTATATATCCCGATCCGCGAGCAACTTTGGTTTGAATACCTTTTTTATAAACGTTTTCCCCAGAGTTTGTTTATGAGTACATTCCATATAAAGTTATCATCGAGGATGTGAAAGTTTCTGACCGTGTTTTGCCGACCAGAAGCGGTTGTGTTCGAACTACGCTTGACTCAACAAAACGATCGTAAGATTTGTGCAAATAGAAAAAAAACAGCATGCTCAATTAGGACTTTCCTCCAGTACAGAATACAAGATTAAAATCAAATTTCGAGCAAATTGTGTTTTGCATTCCATTTACGAGACCATTGGCCTAATATGGAACGTCATTACCTTAATATGGAACGTAAGGGCATGGCTATCGGAGATTGGCAAATAAAAAAATAAATCTGAATATACATGAGTACGATTGGATGTAGTGAGAATTTAGAAATGTTATGCAGTGACAAGGCCGTACGTTGCGTGTTGTTGGTTGATTTCTGAGTGATTCTCACCACATGCTTTTTACAACCATCTCATGATGTGGGCCATTGTAAGTTTCAGTATGTTCACGCACGTGTGGAGCACGCCGTACAACTCGTTATCCATTTTTCGTTGTGTTTGTTTCTTATTAAGTTTTCTTGTATTTCTGTATGTTTTCCCGCGTGCCATCAATAAAATGCCTTATTAAAGCCGTACATCCAAACCGAACAATTTGGTTCGGTTCAAAAGTGCCTTGTTTGAATTTTTTTTGTCTCGGTTCGGTGGTTCGCCGGTAACACTAGATTAAATTGTGTTTATTGTTTTAATTTACTGTGCATTTAAGTTAAATAGGTAAAGTCAAACATCAGAGATAAGTATAAAACCCGACATGTTTGTTTTTCCAACAAAACTTTTGTGCAGCCACAAAGTATTCAAAGAGTACAAAAGAATTGTATGTACAGACCTGAAAAGACTGGGTCTGGAAACCGACAGCGCAACACAACTACTCAATACACGTGTTTTATCAGGAAATTAAAACAGTCTGCCAATCTAAATCCTCCTGTGGAGCTGCAAAGTAAAGAGCTATTGTTATGACTAATCCACCAGACCGCAGAAGTCTATGATGCTGTAATGCAATGAGCTGTCCATTGTTTACTGGAAGCTGCAGAGTGCAAGGTGTACTCGACAGCAACGGTTTGGCCAGCATCGCTGAAGTGTTCGTCTGTTTGATGTTGACCGTCCGTGGGGTCAAAGCGTTGAACGCTTTCAAAAGCGTTTGTATTTTGACCTCACGCCTTAACGTTAGAGTACAAGGTCATCACTAATTGAGACCTGGCACAGAGTTTGAGGCAAAAACATAAGGGAAATTGTGTACTACCTGTTGAACCGCATTTGCTCGTGGAAGAAGCAGCTAGTTAATAAATTGGACACATTGTGGAACATCAGCATTGATCAGACAATTAAAAGCTTTAAAGGCATTTTGATCTTGTTCAAAGATCCATCATTCTGAACAACGTTCACAAAAAAATGACGTTTGAGAGAAAAATACGATTCATGATGAAAATCTAATGCTCAGAGTTGTTAATTTTAATTTTATTTTCAGCAGAGTTATCTCCTAAATAACCGGTAAAATGAAAATTACACATGGAATTTTCGAGCACTACATGTGACAGCATTTTCAGCATTCTCGAACGTCATGCAGTTTTTGTCAAAATTCTCGAACGTCATCAAAATTCTGTCAAATATGGTGTTCACAATGAACATATTGTACTCATTATAAATTTTTGATGCAGCCAAACTTGAAGATAATTTTTGGTGGGCGAAAGATACAAGACCTGGCAAATATGTTGGTATAGTGAGAGTGATTATTAACGGTAAGAGAATGAAGAGAGCCAAACTTTTCTCATCATTTTCCATCAATTTTGCACTTTTTTTTCATGGCTTATATTTTTTAAAGTTATTTCTTAGGTGCTTTAAAATACACCAGTCGAAATATATACTGAATTCTCCTTCTTGTTGAGAGAAGTTTTGAAATCCAGTCCTCTGGTGTAAACACTTCAACGTAAAACTTTAAATGAATTCAACTCCATTTGATTTGCACTGGTAGCCAACCAAATGTCCACCATAAGTACACATTATACCTCATTATTCCCATATAATCATTTTTATAAATCTGAAGGTGCTAATTTGTTTTTTACATGATCAAAGTCACTCTTTTAGAAGTTTTGAAAAATGACTTCCGGAGTTGCATTTTGGTCCATTTTATGAAGAACATGCCCTATCCTTCATGGCCGCACACACTCCCTGTTTTACACTGCCCTCTGTCTGTGGGCACAAGTGGAACAAACCTTCCAATTTACCGCATATTTCAGGCTGTGGTCTTGACTGTCAATTGCTCTGCATAGCAACACTGCAGTATACCAATGCACTGGGCCAATTCCCGGAACAAATGAGGAATTATGCAACAACACACAATGGGGCTCTACACCGAGTGGGCAGTGTGCCTGCAATACTCAAGCATCAATGAAGTTGCTTGTTTGACTAGACTTACCACAAGACAGTCATTCTACAGGGTTTATACACATTCAGAAAAAAAAGGTATGAAGATTTTTGAAAACTGAAAATATTGAAAAACCGCCCAGCAGTGCATACTGCAAATACAAAATGCACCCGGCAGCAAGTGGTTGAAATCATCATGACACAGGAGAGAACAGATGAACAAATCTGCTACATGGGCAAGGCCAGGAATTGAACCCAGGAACACAGTCCTGAGAACTGATCAAGTGCTTAAATTTAAAGCATAAGCTAGCCATGCCAGCAAGCGCTGTAAGTATGTCATTGTACTGGTTATGTTTGGTTTAACTAACAGTACACGTGTATTTGAATGTATAAATAGAAACAAACAAAACAGTAAGTTACCATGTTTCAAGTCTTACCATGTTTTAGAAATGCTTACTGTGCAGTAATCTCGTCTTGATAGAGACACAGGTGTACATTTTGTAGCTGCAAGCCTTGAAGGAGAAAAAAAAATCTTAGCTTAATAATGAGAATGGGCAGAACATTTTACTCTAAGTTTCAATGTGCTTAAATATTTCATAGCTTGTTGGTGAAAACGTGCAATGTCATGCACTGGAACTCATCTCACAGTAGTTCATGCTGAGTGAAGTTATCAAAATAGCATGCAATGGGACCCCATGTGTATGCCATGGGACTGGCAAAAAAATAATGTTGTTTGAAGTGATCACCACGGGACATTTTGTGGATACCATGGGAACACCATGAGGCTTTTATGATCAACATGGGAACACCATAGGGATTTATGATCAGCATGGGAACACCATGGAGCTTGTATGATCACCATTGGAACACCATGGGTTTTTTATAATCAGCATGGGAACACCATGGGGTTTTTATGATCAGCATGGGAACACCATGGGGTTTTTATGATCAGCATGGGAACACCATAGGGTTTTTATACTCTACATGGGAATACAATCTGATTTGTATGCGGACACCATGGAAACGCTCAAACACTATTCTAATTTTTGCAATCATCAAGAGAATAATGGGATTTGCATTGATATGGCATCTACACAGGTACACTTAGAGGCTTTGTTGTATTGTAAACCCCATTAGCTGCTGCCATTAACATGCAGCATTGGCATGAACTACAGTACACAGTTTGGAATGGAATGTTGATTTGATGACTGCAACTTTGCTCGTCACCATGATGCACAGAACACTCACCATGGGAGGCACGGGTAAATCACCATGAGACCCAAGGAACAATTGACATGGAACAATCACCATGGGGTGCAAGGGACAATCGACATGGGAAAATCACCATGGGACGCATGGGAAAATCACCATGGGATGCATGGGAAAATCACCATGGGATGCATGGGACAATCACCATGGGACAAATGGGGCAACCACCATGGGACAAATGGGGCAACCACCATGGGATGCATGGGACAATCACCATGGGACAAATGGGGCAACCACCATGGGATAAATGGGAAAATCACCATGGGATGCATGGGACAATTACCATGGGACAAATGGGGCAACCACCATGGGACAAATGGGGCAACTACCATGGGATGCAGGGGAAAATCACCATGGGACACAAGGGTAAATCACCACGGAACACATGAGTAAATCACCATTGGATGTGTGGGAAAATCACCGCGGGATGTGACAATTAAATCACCATGGGAATATTTTGGGAGATTACATGGGTTCTTGAAATACTCATGCGCAAAATCCCATGGGTAAAAATCCCATGCTAGATGATGGCCAATTCACCATGTAATCCCATGGGAAATTTTCCCATAGGATACCCTCATGGGACATTTTTGTGAGGGCGCATTTAGCATGTAGACTTTTGACAATAAGGATGTTGTCAAATTCATAATTTTGGGGGGTTAAATACATCCAGACGATTGCACAATAGCAAATGCCTCCGCCAAATACTCTTTTATTATCAAAGAATTCTCAATCATTTTAAGGACTTATTTTTAGACAAGGAAGATATTCCCATTCTAAGGGGAAAAATGAGCAGTTTGTAAGTAGATTCACTTGGCCCAAAATCAATATTATTTATACAGCCTATAAATAACACAAGTGCAATGACAAGCAATTACATAATCAAAAGAATGCTAGAACTGAAAAGGAGCCAAAGGAAAAAAAAATGACTAGACAGAACTGCAGAAAGCAAGAGTAAAGGGCTGAAGAAGGAGTAATCTTAGGCCAATACAGCAGAACTTTACGTCACGTCACTTTACTTCACCAAGCTGTCAATTGGTGAAATGAAGTCACGAGAGGGTGCAACAGAAATTGCCGTGCATGGCATATCATGCTTGATAGAGTCCAATGTCGAGTTCTACCATCTCGGCCCAAGAATAAAGAAGGAGGGGAAAAGGAGCTTTCTCATTTGGAAGTTGTCCTATTCTTAATCAGTTATTGCTTCAACATGCCGTGAATTCTCATTTATCAGAAAAACCCAAGGTCGGCAACCTGAACACAGGTTTTCTGGCAGGTCCAACCAGGATTTCGAGGATCTCTTATCAGCTACTGTTATCACCCTCAAGGGATTCTGTTACAAACTGAGTGCAAAACTGCAGCCGGGGCTTGACCTTGGCTCGACTGGGTGGCGAGTGGGCTTTTTGCCTATAGTTTTCTCAACACACATCCAGTTTCATAAATGCTCAGCCCAAGTTACTTTAATTCTTTGAGTTGTGGAGTTATTTCTGTGGGCCACAACTTACTCAGCATGCATGTGTGAAAGCCGCTTTGGAAGCTACATGTAGTGCATGAGTAACACTATACCATAGAAGGTGTTTCATGCGATATATCATATAATGAAACGGAAGTATACGAAAAATTGAGACTTACATTTAATTGTCTGTGTTCACATTCTGACTTCAATTGTTCACAAATGTTCAATGAATCGACCAGACATCACTGATCACAAAGTCTGACTACATTTTCTTTAGGATGTAGATGGCGCAGACGTTGTCAAGTACATTGGGTGCGTGAATGAAGGATCAAAGTACTTTGTTGTTGGAGTTCTATCCCGTTATTGGGGGGGGTGGATGAAAGTATCCACTGAATTTCGTTGTCAGTTGCCCTTACTGCGGAGGGCAGATCATATAAACACTATAAACTTCGCTATCAGAATTCTGCCCCCTTATTGGGAGAGCAGATCAAAGTGAGCACTAAACTTTGTTGTCGGAATTCTGCCTCCTTATTGGGAGAGCGGATAAAAGTGTGCACTAAACTTGGTTGAAGGAAATTTACTCCATGATTGAGAAGGCACATAATGGTATGCACTAGATTTTGCTGTCAGAAAGCCAAATTCTTCAATAAAATGATCTCTTGATGTTTTGTCTATTCATAGAGGAAGAAAAACATTCATAAGTGGTCTATTTTATACACATCAAATGCCTTTGTGAGTTTTCACTAGCAGTTGGACACAAACAATATTAAGAAATTTTGGTAGCTTATTCTATATATCGCTCTATGAAGCAATAATGTTTTTATTTGATTAACATTTGAGCTGCTGTGTAATCACCCATGGACACCTTTTAAGTCCACAAACAAAACAATCGATTTTGTTTCAAAAGGCCTACGTTTTATTTCATTTTCATTCCTGTCAACGTGCATTAGCCCCAGACGGGAGAGATCTAACACAGACACATTATTGCCCGTTCTTTTGGGCTTCACCACCGAGTTCCGTTTTATTTAACTTTCAAAAATTCTCTTGAAACCATGATGCCAATTCACAACATACAAACCAGAAGCTCAAATGCTCGGTAATTCTCCTGAGTTAAGGAATTCACAAGCTGATACACTAGAGGATAATTTATCCTTTTAATGTTCACACAGAGTACTTCAAGATGTACAAACAACGGCTTAAAACTAGAACAAGGAAAGTCCTAACTTTATAACTATATGTCAACAACCCAACAACTCTTGATTAGTAATTAGATTTGTTTGTCCCATCCAATTCGGAAGATGTGAAAGTTAGGCATCCCACAAATCACCTGCTAACTGTCAAGCAAATTTCGTGGTCGCAAGAAAATGCAGACCTCCATCCGGCAGAATTGTGTCTGCACCGGCCAAACTTCCAAATTGGGCCCTGGCCCCATTCCACCTATGCAAGGCATGCAGAGGCGTGGCCCAAGAAGAAACCTCCAGGCCGTAAGTGATGAGCAGATTCTTTGTTTACCTAGCAACTATTTCTTTCTTTTTCCGTAAATCAACTAACCTATATTCAAACCCATCCTTGTGATTGTCTGAAATTTTAAGCCTTGGGCAAAAGCAGGCCCCCTCAAGCATCCATCTCGAGCCCTGCTAAGCCTAATTTGTTGACAGAAAAATGTTTTATGACCCAACCTGAGCTGCCTGCACTGCAATAGAACCAAGATTTATCTCTACGGCACAACTGTGTCACTTGACATGGCAAGCACCCATACTTAACCTCACCCCGTATCACCTCCTCGGGGTCAAACATAATCCATAATCCAAAACTTGTGTGGCAGAGCCAGAAATGTTTGTGTTATTACGTACACGTTTATACATAGAAGTAGTTCCCCTTTAAAAATGTTTAACTTTAGTTTAGATTTCTTGACTTTTTTCTTTTTGTGCCCCCCTGTTTATTTGTTTAAGCCCCAGCTTCCCCCACATAGAGTTACCACATGGTCTGGTCACACTCAGTGTAGCAGATCAGCAGAGACCAGTCACCTTCACATGTACCTATGTATTGTTCCTCCTAACTTGAGTGTGGTTTTTCTGCTTGAGCCCTATTCTGCTAGAAGTCAGTGACTGAAGTCTGAGTGTAAACTCATAAGGTCCATTTTACGCACTGTGTTGGGTTTGGGTTTTGAGTCTTTTAAAGTCTTAGTCTTTGGGTGTTTTTAGTCCTTGAGTCCTTTTAGTTTTTTGCATTTTTCCTGTACTTTTTCATTAATAAATTATTTTTTGGTCCCTTTTTTGAAGTCAAATATTGGTGTCTTAGTCCTTATTAATTCAGTTTCCTGCGACTTTTCCTTAAAAAATTCTTGGTTTAGTTAGAGTTTTTGTTGTTTTGCGGTTTCCCCCCAGAGTTGTCTTCTTTTAGTGTTCCATTTTTCCAGGTTACACTTGTAATTCTATAAACCCGAAAACCCTGAACAGGCACCCAGGCCTAAAAATGCCCCATTTCAGCCCCACAGGGGGCAAGGCCTTATCATTCTAGTCGCTTGATAAACACACTGCACAGCACCCAGGCACCTGACGAGCCCAACCCCTAGGCCTTAACTCCTACAGCACAATTCCTGTAGGACAAACATGGCTTAATGGCTGAACCAACACAAAGCCCCAGGCTAGGAATGCCTCAATGTCAACCCAATTAGGGCCCTCTGCCTTAAGTTGCCTAACTGGGTACGGCTCATAGACCTCTAGTTCAAACTGAACATGCACAGCAGGCACCGACTACCGTAATTTTGACTTTACCCGCAAAGAGATA